ATAGATAAAATAGATTACTGTGAGTTTCTAACCACTTGTCCAAGGTTTGTATACTAAGGTACCCTGACAATGCCAGACATCAAGAAGGAATTCTTGTGAGTTGCTAAGAAAGCAGGAAAAACTGTGGAGGCAGGAAGTCCATAAAGCAAGCAGACTTATCAACAGATACTCATAATCAGAAATAGTTTGAGAAAGGAAATGGATGGGTCATCCTCAGCTGAAAAGTAATGTCAGAGATTTGGCCGTGGTAGCTTTCACACACAGGGGATAAAATGGAGTTAGGGTTAGGGTGGTCCCCTCTCTCCCTGACACTTAGTCAAGAGGACTAGGCATAACCAGGACCTAAAACCAAATCAGACCCACCAAGGCACAGGTTGAGGGATTCTATAGGTTAATGATAAAGGCCCAAAAAGCCCAGGATTGCTAATTAGGCAACCCTAAACTGGATAACAAGGACCCCAAGAGTGAAGGAGTAGGCCATTATGACCACCATGCAGAATGCCTCATAATAAATGGGCCAGAGATCACAATAAAAGGTGGGATGGGGTGGAGGGAGGGGAGAGGTTGTTGGAAATTAGGAGACCAAAAAGCTTGTAGAGGTGGTAGCAAGCAAACTGAGTTATTTTTTAAACACAAAGAGGTAAATTTGACCTTATAGAAATTCCTGGGTTTGTTAGATGAGATATATGACTAGAATATGTCAGTAGAAGAGTACTGTATTCAAAAGTAACAGTTTACATAAAAATGGGTGTTAGAATAGTGTTGTAAATCAAGAAACATTTTTGTGAGAAAAAACACAAGCAGAGTAAAAGAAATATGGTAAAGAACATGTTGATGAGGACCCGTGGAAGGAGAAACTGAAATGCTATTGTACCAAGAATATACAGTTGACTTTGGTCAACTGGGCCTTTAGTATTATTACTATCCTTCTTGGATATTTTGTCCTGTAAATATCTGGGCTTCTGTATTGATTTTCTTTTTCCTGTGTTGGACTTCGTACTCTCTGTGATGCATGGCACCTACTATTATTGTTATGTATGGATTCAGATATATGTGAGCAGTTTCCTCCCTCCCCCTTCAATTTCATAACAAGCTCCTTTCACTCAGGTGTATGTATTGTGTGGATGGACAGATAGATAGATAGATAGATAGATAGATAGATAGATAGATAGATAGAT